TTGAATGAGATCTTTGTCTATATTACATTTTAAAATTAATTCTAAGCAGTGTACAGGAAAATAATTGATTTGTATATTTCTCTTGCATGCAGCTGCTCTTTTCCTCAGCTCATTCATTAGTTCTGAAAATAGTTGATTTTCTTGCACCATGACATTGTCCTGGGGTTATTAGAGGCTTATCATGTCTTCTGGATTTGTCTCTAGGCACAAGCCTGGGTGCAATTCAGTGTATTTTCAACATTCATGATATCTTCTACCATCTGGTTCTAGGAAATATTACTGTGTCCTATTTAAATTCTCCATCCTACCTCTTGTTCCTGTAAGGCATTTAGCAAATCTGTTTGTGTAATTAAATTTTTGTACTATTATTACTTTATGGACTAATTTTACAGCATTGCTTAACTTATTTAATATTTCCATACTGGTTTTACCATCTTCAATAGGAAAACCATTGTATATTATAAATATACCCTATTAATATAGGGTTTTTAATCCGAATACAATTTTCTTATTTCTCACTGATTATCTTCCTAATATCAAGTCCTGACTTACCAGTTTTATCAAAGGCACTGTCTATAGCTATGTATTAAAATTTTCTATCATTAGAATATGAGTTTTGTCCTTCCTGGTAAATTGTTTCCCTACATCCATTATTCAGGGGTAAAATAGATGTGTTTACACAAATCTCAGCATACACTTTTGAATCTTTTTTGAATAAGCCTAACAAAAATTCTGTAACATTTGATGTGCACTTAAATAGCAAGGCATCAGGCTTGAGAATCATTTTACAGAAGGTAAAAAGGGAGAGGAAGTTTCTACTCTGCTCTCTGAAAATATCACCTCCGCTCCAAAATAAAGAACTCTCAGATGCTCATACATAAGTAGTCAAAGGAAAACAGTGAGTTAGTCAAAACGGGCTAGATTATGCTTCAGTGACAATTCCAAATTTTCAGAGTGGCCTTTTGATAGAGTAAGTATGGCTGCAATTCATTTTGTTGCTTCTTATTAAAGGGTAGTCTAATTCCTCTTCCCTTTAGTTTGGGATGTCCTTCAGGGCTTTCACTAAAAGAATGAGGTAGAAATGCCATTCTCAGACCTCTGGAGCAATGCGGTTTCCACCTGACCTTCTGGGGACTCTTGCTCTAGAGAAAATAAGTATGACAGACCTCAAACTGCCATGCTGAAGGAAGCCGAAGCTAGTCACATAGAGAGAATGCATGGGTAAGAGCAATGCCTGTACCAGTCCCCAGCTGTTCCAGCCAGCCTACACTAAGAGCCAGAAGTGAGTGAAAGGGACTTTAACTAATTCTGGCCTCGGTCTCCAGGTGTCTGCCACCATATAAAGGAATACAAGCAAACATAGCCCAGCTGAGCTCTCTATCCCCCAAAACCATAAGAGGTGAGTTTCGGGGTGGTTTGTTAGGCAGCAGTACTTAACCTGAATAGTCTATCACAGTGAAAATTTATTTCTTGCCTATGTAAAATCCTTTCTTTTTTTTGAGACAGAGTCTCGCTCTGTTGCCAGGCGCCAGGCTGGAATGCAGTGGCGCAATCTCGACTCACTGCAACCTCTGCCTCCCAGGTTCAAGCAATTCTCTTGCCTCAGCCTCCTGGGGAGCTGGGACTACAGGCGCGCACCACCACGCCCAGCCAATTTTTTTTGTATTTCTAGTAGAGACGGGGTTTCATCATGTTGGCCAGGATGGTCTCAATCTCTTGACCTCATGATCCACCCGCCTCCCGCCTCCCAAAGTGCTGGGATTACAGGCTTGAGCCACCACGTCCGGCCATAAAATACTTTTAAGAATCCAGGGAACCACCCAGTTCTACTATTCTCCGTGAGGCAGCTCAACAATTCAGGCTGCTCTGGTTTTGTAGACTCTTAGATCATGATCTTTTCTCTAAAATTTCCACAGCAGGAGAACAGAACACTGGGACATTCTGTGCTGGTGATTAAATGCTTCAGCCTGGAAGTGATACATACCTACCCCTTCCATTCATAGCCCATTGGCCACAACTATTCATATAAATATGCCTAACTTCTGAGGGGTATAGGAGCAGTTTCCCCCTCTCTCCTGCTAATGATGTTATCTCATCAGAGTCCTAGGAATTCCTTTGCTTACCAGGAACCACATATTTTTGGGTAACCAAAGCTGTCTTGCAGTGCCACCATTACTCTGGGGACAAAAGCCCTTTCTCCTAGTACGAGGTACCAATATTCTTAAAACTGTCAATCCATGTTTTAAACATGGACATTGATCACATACTGGCCTAGATATCAATTACAGCATAACAAATTGCCCCAAATCTCAGTGGCTTGATATTATATAACAACATTGATTACCTCACAGTTTCTGTGGGGGGAGGTCCCAGCTAAGCTAAGCTGTGCCTCCAGATTCTGGGTCATTTATAAGGCTCATTTGTCGCAAAAGCACTGGTGACAGATTTGCTTCTAGGTCACTCGTGGTTGTTTGAAGATCCAGTTCTTTGAGGGCTGTTGGGCTGAGGTGTCAGTTCCTCAGGCTGGAGACCTCCCTTGTCACATGGAGGTTGCTTGTCACATGGAGCTCTCCACACAGAGTCACAAAGTGAGCATGCAAGAGGAAAATAAGTTTCCAGCAAGACAGAAGTTGAAGGTTTTCGTAACCTTATCACAGAAGTGATAACCCATCAGTTTTCCCATCTTCTGTTAGAAGTGAGTCACCAGGCCCAACCCACACTCAAGAGGGAAGAATCACACAAGGGGCTGAATACCAGGAGGGAGAGATCTCAGGAGCAGTGTCAGAAGCTGCCTATCCCAAGGACACCTGTGGGATGGGTATTCTGCAATACAGGGGACACAAAGATATATAAGGTGAAGCCCTTGACTTTGAAGAGTTTTTAAGAGTGGTTGGAGGAGTGAGGGTAGAGGGTGATAACTACATATATTTGCATTGTACTATGAAAGGTATGTGGTGAAGTTATTGTATTAGTCCATTTTCACACTGTTGATAAAGACATGCCCAAGACTGGGTAATTTATACAGGAAAAAGCGTTTATTGGACTTACAGTTCCATATGGCTGGGGAAGCCTCATAATCATGGTGGAAGGCAAGGAGGAGCAAGTTATGTCTTACATGGATGTCAGCAGGCAAAGAGAGAGAACTTGTAAACAGGGAAATTTGTGTTAAAACCATCAGATCTCCTGAGACTTATTCACTATCACAAAATAGCACAGAAAGACCTGCCCCCATGATTCAATTGTCTCCCATGGGGTTCCTCCCATAACATGGGGGGATTATGGGAGCTACAAAGTGAGATTTGGATGGAGACACAGAGCCAAACCATATCAGTTACACAGAAGAGCAACTGGATTTGAGAAGAGACAGCAGCTCATTCTGCATGAGCTATCAGAGGTACAATGTGGGCTACATGATAGAGACTGAATGATTCACTGGACAACAGAAGAAGAGTGTTCTAAGCAGAACATAGGGGCAAGGAGACTGAAATACACAATGTGCTTCGGGAATGGGAAGCAGCTTTGTGTTACTAGGACACAGGGAATTGTGGGAACAGTGAAATGTAAAGTGGGCAAAACTGAAGCTGGACTGTGAAAGTCATTGTGTATCACACTAAGTGAACTTGACTTTAGGAAAAATAGAGACATTATAGCATACCATTGTCTCCAAATGATATTAATGTTGGCAATATTGTTGTGGCAAAAACCGCAATTGTGCTTGCACCAACCTAGTACATAAGCTTTTTGAGTCAGCATATTATTCTTATCTAATATAATTTTTACAGACACCTTTTTGGACCAGGTTCTATTACTACCTGCATTTTAACACAACTTTGGTGTTAACTAGTTTTAGCTCCAAATCACATAGCTAGGAAGTGTCAGGGCTGCGATGCCAATCATAGTCTGACAGCAACAGCTCCCTTACCCTGGTCTATGACTCCTCACCACTAGGTCACTCCCACACTTTCTTGCTACCATCCTTAGTCAGAAGGCCAAAAAATGCAATCCTTAAACCTACAACTTTTGTTAGAGATAGGAACTTTGGTAACGGCTGTCTTTTGTGCTGCAGGTGCTCTTTCTTTTTAATTTTTAATTTTGTAAATTTTCTAACATATGCACGAGTAGGTAAAAATAGCAAAATGAACTTAGTTTCAACACTGACATTGCATCACTTACCTTTCACCTATCTTCCCTCCATTCCCTCCATTTTATTTCTGGAGTATTGTAAAACAAATTCTAGACATCATGTTACTTCATCCATAAATATCTCACTATCTATAAGCAATAAAGACCTTTAAAATATAGTTATCACATCTTTACAGCTTCAGCAAAGTTAATAGTAATTCTTAAATACCAGATGCTATTTTTAAGAACTTTTTAAACCAATTACATATTCGATACAAAAAAGTTGCACTGAAAGTGACAGAATGATAGAATTCCTGTTTATGAATCATTGCTTTTTACAAGCACAGTAAAATGTTTTCCATCAAGCTTATGGGATATTAGTAGCATTCATTACAAAAACATTTTCTTAAATTCCAATAGTTTGTAAACCCTTGAGTGTTTTATTTTAATGATAAGGGCTGGGTCCACATAGTTTTTAGCTAATACTAATTAATGCATAATCCAGACTAGATCTTCTCTTCAGGCAAAATTAATTTTCCTCTCCTATAAGTACTGATCGAAGTTTGCTCTCATGTGCCCTGAAGTACTTTTAGTCACATAGCTTGTCTTTGTTTTTAAGCCCAGGGCAGAAACCACATCCTTTTCATGATCTATTAACCACATTACCGAGATTCATGGTTTGCACACCTAGTAAACACATACAAAGCACCCTTTGAGAAAGCTTCTTAATCCTCTAATTATAATCCAGCCTTACATACTAATGGTGTGGTGGTCCCAAGGTACAGATTCATCTAATGTGACCTGGAAGGAAAATTGGAAATCACTTAAGGCTACCCTCATTTTAAATCTGACAAAACTGTGGTCAAGAGAAAAGTGAGGTCCATTTTACTGCAGGTGGCAATAGTCTTAACTGACTCATTTAATCGGTTAGTACTCATGTTTTTAAGAGTTTCTATAAAATTAACATTATTTTTGTAAAAAACAAGTGCATAGCCTAATTTCATCAAATACTCAATTAGTGATGCTTCAAAATACACATGCAGAGAGTACTTAAATTTTCCTCTCTCTTCAGCAAGAGATGCTCACCACGTCCCTCCATTTCTCATTAAATATAGGTGTACTTTGCAATCCGCTGCTTTTATTTTTGCTGTCATTGAAGAGGGGATGGATTTTAAAATTACTGGCCATGTTTCCCTTTAGAGAAGCCCACACGTGCCAACCCTGCCTTTACTGGAGCCGTAGCAGCAGCGGTGCATGTTCTAACTTAGGCAACGTTGGGTCATCTGTTTATTGTCAGCTTGGCGGTCAGAAGAAAGGGCGGCGGTTGCCGAGGCAACCGACACCCCGGGCAACGGCAAGTGGGGGCGGGAGGGGGCGTGGCTGCGACGGGCAAGCGACGACAGGAGGAGGCGTCCGCCGCGGCGTTGGGAGCACCGCCCGTCTGCGCGGCCGGGCGTAGGCGGGGTGGCCCCAGCGTCTCCCGCTACCTTGAAAAACCAGGGCGGGCGGGCAAGCGAGGCTGCAGGCCCGGCCGCTGCCTTTCCCCACACTCCCGGCCGAGGAGCCTCGCTCGGCGCCCAACATGGCGGGTGGCCGCTGCGGCTCGCAGCTAACGGCGCTCCTAGTTGCCTGGGTCGCCGCGGCGGCGGCTACCGCAGGCCCGGATCAGGCCGCGCTGCCGGCAGAGCAGAGCCGGGTCCAGCCCATGACCGCTTCCAACTGGACGCTGGTGATGGAGGGCGAGTGGATGCTGAAATTGTGAGTGTGCCCGCCCCGCACGCCGCAGTGTCCTCGGGCGTCACCCTCCCAAGCTCGCGCGGCCAGCTAGAGATCTCGCATTGCCTCTCGGGGTCAACCTAAAACCCCGGACCCGCCCTGCCATCAACTTGAGGCGCCGGGACCGGGCCGCTCGCGATCCCGCACTGCCACTGGGCTAGACTTGGGGCCCCGGACCCGCGTTGTGAAAAACCTGCGGTGCTGGTGCTGGTGCTGGTGCCGGGGTCGGGCGGCTCGCGCCGCGCATGCGCGCCCAGTCCTCGCGGTGACAGCCGAGTGCAGAGTGTCTCCTTGCTTTGGGGGAAGGTGTTTTGGGGACGGAGTGGGCATCTTCCCAAAGGGAGGAGAGGGGAAGGGAGAAAATCTGCAACCAAACAGTGTGGTTTTAGATATAGGTATGCATTGGAAGAGAAAGCACATTCAGTGACATCCATGTGCAGTGCGAATACATAGCACAGGCTAGTTAAGTTACCTGTTGAAGGAATTGCAGCACGGCGAAGGCAGGCAGTTTGTATCATAGTCTTCCGTTTGAAGGCCTTGAGATGTCATTGTGAAAATAAAACACAAACATGGATGCCTTTTCAGTTTTACAATAAGATTTCAAATAAATGTTGATATTTATTATAACTTTTAAAGGTAGGACTTTCTGGGTAATATAATAATTGTGCTTCTGTCATAAAGAAAAGAACATACACATTACCCCTTTTAACAACAGAGGTAAATTTTGGATAGTGCCTTTTCTTTCAGGAGAAAACTATACTTTTGAGTTAGGAGAAAGAAAGGGATTTGTTGATCATAATTTAAACTTCTAACAGGAAGTGACCATTTGAAAGAAGGCTTGCAGTGAACGGTGGACAGATGTCTGAATGGGCTTGAGACCATCATGGTGGGCTTACAGGGAATGAAGAATGTCCGGGTGGTTTCAGGCAGTCTGTATACTACTATCCAATATTTATTTTATGCTGAGGACAGAGACACAAATTGGATCTTTCCTTTATCCAAGACCAAGTTTTGATTCTTTCAATTTAGATTGCAAGCAAGTGTCTACGGAGTGAAAACCCCAGTGTGAGATCAGAGCCAAAATTTATGTCACATAGCAGATTACCTTGCTCAAAGAACATAAGGCATATCACCCCTTCAAATGTGCATTTACCTCTTGGTCACAAAGAAGGGGAAATTTTAGACCTCAAAATGAAATGTCCTTGATATCATAATCAATCGGAGCTGTAGACACGAACAAGTTATTAAAATATTCCACTTAACTATTTTTGGAAGGAGGCGAGGGTGGCATATTCTATTTGAGAAACTTTTAAAATAAGTGGAGCGGTATTAAGACTGCTTTGTAATAATTTTAAGAATTTTATATAAACTACGTTTTGTCAGCCAATACTACAGAAAGTTCTCTTTTCAGTAGGTGCTTACAAAATGGACTTTTTCCTAGATGTCAGTTTTCAGGGTAAAATTGAGTTTGTGTATGTATGTATGTAAGGAAAGTTAAAACAGAAAGGCCTCCTCATGTTTAATGACATCAACTCCTTTATGGTTCTTTTTGGAATTGCTTTTTCCTTTTTTTTTTTTTTCTGCTAGAATTAAGAACACTAAAGCCTCAATAAGTTTTTAAATGAGTGACAGCCAACAAATCCTGTTTGGCTATGTTGATGGTTTAAATTTTACTTTTTTATGAATGTATAATCATTGTAATCAATTGCTCTGAGTTTGTCATATATCCAGTTGTATGGGATATGCTTGGGCTGTGATGCAAGATGAGTCTTGTAATCTGGAAGTAAGCTGTGTAGACACAAGGTCATTTTAGTAGAAGTTCTCTTTTTATCAAGTGCACTTCAGAATAGGTAGACTAGGAAGCAAGGCTGTAAAGGTGAGTTGATCTAAACCATTCCATCCAACTTCTTTTTATGTGCTAGAACCCAAGTGCTCATCCCAAAGAAATATTTTGGTTCTTACCTATTTGTGATTTTTCTGTATTATTAGGTGATACTCTTCCTCCTTGCTGTGAAAAAAAAAATCCAATACTTAAAATAATATAAAATTTGTTATAGCCTCAGTATCACTATAGGCCTGCTGTCAATTTCAAAGAATTCATTCAAATAGCCTGTAAGTTACCAGATTTTTTTTTTTTTTGATGTATATAACAGAAAAACAAAATGTGTTAGCTTCATGTTAACACTTTATTCACATGAACTGGTCATACATAAATGGAAATTGTTACGAATTCCAAGATGTAGTTCTTTAAAGAAACAAATTGAGAAGCTTTCTGCTAATATCAAAATGTATTTATTACTTTGAATGACAGTTCTTTATTTGTTAATTTGCTTATATGCTCTCTTTCTCCTGGGAATTTTTTTCTTTTACATCCCATGTCATACAGATCCCTTCTAATGTAATTTCTGGTTATGTTGGCATAGACAATTTATTCTTAAGAATCTGGCAGTGTTCGGCAAATTTAAGACATAAAAAGCCCCTATTATGAAATTAAATTTGGTTATATTTTCTTGGTTTTTCCAACAGTCAATTTTTGGATTCTTGCAATTGAATTTACAACGTGTTTAAAATGTATCAGTTAAAAGTATATTTGCAGTAATTCACCATTTCTATTCTGATGCTTTTAGAAATCTGAAAAGTTCCTCCATTACTACATGCATTTTCTTTAATGCTATGGGTTTATTGTATACTCGTTTGCCCTTTTTCTGAATTAGGAAAAATGACCTAATCTTTAAATTACTTTCTGATGCATGCTATTCTCTATTTCTATTGCTTTATACTACTCCTCATTCAGTTCCTTTGCAACCTTTTGCTACTTTCAACACTTGCTTGGCTCTCATTATGTCAGTCCTGGAGAAAATGACTTTTGTTCTTTTGAAACACAGAAGTATGTAATATGATACATTCTGGTGGCTTTTTCCGCCCAGAAGAAATAGCCAAGTGGCTTAATTTTGGCCTTCAAACTGATACTCAGAGGAAAAGTATGTCTTTGGGTTAATTTACCTCTGCAAAGCATATAAATCTTTATAAATTATTGCCTTTTCTGATTTTTGTTCTTGGAATGATCATGTTTCAAAATTAAAATTAAACACCTGGTGATAGATCAAAGCTTTGTTTATTTCTGTAGGACCTTTGGGTTTTAGTATTGTCTTTCCAGTCTTCCTTTATACGTGGAGAGAATGTGTTGAAAATCATTGCCTTAGCTTGCCCATGTCAAATAGTTACAATTTTTTGCATTTTAATAGATTGCCTTGATGTCTTGGTGGAATGTTTGAGAGAGAGTCATTAAATGTTTCTATGTCAGGTTCAGTGTTGGGGACCTAGGAAGGTAAAGAAGAATGAGGTTTCCAAGAGATTGGCCTACTGTGCTCTGAAGGAGATATGTCGTATAAGTTATGTTCATTTATTTAGTAAATTTTTCCTGAATGCTTCCTCTGTGTTGGACGTTTATCAGTGTTTCCCAACAGGGCACTATTGGCATTTTTGGTGGACAGTTCTTCGGTGTGTGGGGATGGCCCACATGTTGCAGAATCTTTGGCATCCTTGCCCATTATATTCTAGTAGTAGTCTCAGTCATGTGACATCAAAAAATTACAGCTCCCATTCCCTGTGCACACTACTAAATGCTTCTAATTGAAAACCACTGCTTTAGGTACTGTTATGGGTATTTAAAAACATGCAAATGTTGGATTTTAGATAGTTTCCACAAAGAGTTTAAAGTCTCATTAAAACTTGTCATACTTATCACCTGCATCTGCCTCCTCCACTTCCTCCTTCTCATCATCACAATCACACTTAACAGTTACGTTGCTTACATCACGTTTCAAATACGATTTTATTTGATCATCCCAGAAATGTAGTGAAGAATTATTATTCCCATTCTTACCGACTAGGGGAGATTAAAAAAAAAAAGATTTAAGCTTTGGCTAATGCCACATCCTTAGTAAGTAGTGAGCAAGGCCATAGCTATAATGCCGGCCTGAGCTTTGCAGGTTTTGATATGCAGTTCCTAGTTCTCGTGGGGAGGCTGGAAGAAGGCACAGAACCTGGTGGACTCTTAGGCCCTCATCTGGCCAGCAACCTGACTCACCTGAGGGGAGGCCTTGTTCTTAAAGGATTCAAAGGCCCATCCAAGCTCTTACCATCTCTCTAGTTTCTGCAAGTAAAGAACATTTTAGTGTATGCCCATTTTTGACACTGTTCACCACTTAAACAGGTGTCCTGCCTTCCCAACATCCCAATATGCAGGAAAATTCTATCTCCTTATGCTTTGGTTGTGTCTCTCAGGGTTCTATCACAAGTAGTAATTATAAATTTATTTATATACTTTTATACTAGGTCTTTCTTTGACTACCTCTATTATAAGCTTTTAAGTAAAGGAGCAAGGTTATTTTTTCCTTCCCTGTTTATCTCCAATGCTTTAATAACTCACAAGTAGTTCACATTCAAAAAATACTTTGTGACTAGATAAATGAGTGAACAATAGACTAATTGTTCCTTTAATCAGGTACTTCTTCAAGCATATCACTGAACGAGACATCTTTATATATCTTCTGAAGTCTTAAGGATAATTGCTATCATCTCCCATAAGGTCACTAATGGAATATTTATTGTGGTGGCCTAGGACCTTCCTGGATCTGTTCTAGGTGCAAGTGATGCAGCAGTCCCTACTTTCATGGAGTGTTAATTCTAGTGAAAATCATGAATTTCACTTTCTCTAGCAGTGTTATGATTTTCATAGAGCTGCTAGTTTTTATGTTTCTCTACCTTTTCTGATAGCATGTTCTAGAAATTATTGTCCAAATAAATAAATTGAGCATAAGACTTTCAATTCATCAGTCATTCCACATTTGCCAAAAAAAAAATAACACTTCAGGTAGTTAAGGCGTCTTTTGTTGACATTTTGATTTAGTTTCCTTTATTAAGTTGTAGAAAGATGAATCTAGCATACCTCTTTCCTCTTCATTGTTACTGAGTATTCTGGGCATTTTGATCAAAGTAAGTTCTACTAAGTGAAAATTGACTGGATTTGTTTTTGACCGTCTCATTTTTGCAAGGAAAGAAAAAGTCAGGAGAAAAGAGAGTGGGTACTGAGAAACACTGGTCAAATTAGAGTCAAAACAGAAGAAGAGTTGTTCTTTATTGGTAAATAAAAATTTATCGTAAATAAAATTTCCTTCTAGGAAATATAATTAAGTAAGTCCTTCTCTGAAATATTTAGCGTACCTAATGAAATCTTACACCAAATTCAGTAAGTTCATGGAATAAAAGATTCAGGGTCCTTCACCTTACATCAGGCAGAACCTCAGGCCACTTTGGACGTGAATACTAACATGGACAACAAAAGCGTGCTGTTGAATTTCATTTCCCAGAAATGGTTAAAAGTATTGCACTGGTGTATAAGTTGGTGTAATTTAGCAGAGCTTTTTGGCCACCTGGAATATATTTCAAATATCTTTATTAAGCTTACTAATTTTACATACCATTGTGACCTGCAACAAGTCAACAAAAGTTCAGTAGAAAAGTTACTGATTTACAGTTTCTATGACTATAATGGAGCTAACTGCTCTTGGAGGCTCTTAAGGATTATGTGTAAGAGACAAAGTTATGGTAGGGCATATCTTTTATAGTTCTTAGGATAAGATTGCCAGTGTGAACTAGTTTGAAATAACTATTAATGAAGATCATGTTCATGTTCTTTTTGATAAGTTTAATTTATGTGTACATACATAAATTATATATGTATGTGTGTGTATGTATGTGTGTGTATGTATGTGTGTGTATGTATATGTACACAGAGTGAGAGAAGAGCATGAAGGTCACATGACTTATCCTTGCATTCATTTTGTCTCTGGAGATATTTAGTTTCTAAATTTTTGCACAGATTACTGTTCTTTATATACAAAAGAATACTAAAAACGTTAAAAACTGCAGCAACAATGGACTAGTTCCCATGCTAAGGACTCAGAGCTGGCTTATCTCTGCCACTGAAAGAACATCTGGACACATTCCAACACAAATCAGCTGTAGTTAAATCTGTGAAATAATGCCATTAACAATGCCACAGACCAGTGAATAGCAGCTGTATAGAAATGGCATATCTAGAATTACCTCAATGGCATATCTGAGGATGTATTATAATTGTATATCTGAACATCAGTTTCACCAGAAAAAAACTTATGTAATAGCCTATCCAGAGATTAAGGCCTGAGATTTTTTTTAATTATGAAATTTGCATGATTTAATAAATACTGATGTAGAAAATGTGCCTCTGACTTATATGCAAAGAGAATCTAGGGAAATAAAGAGGATCTGAAGTTCATTATGTTACACTTCAAGATAGTTTCCTTATTCATGTTACTTTCCCATAACTTCTCTCTTTCTCCCTCTGGGTGTTGGTGTAGAGTTTTACATTCCGTGATGATTTTTATCAAATAAATACCTCTATCTTGGTTCTTGCTCTGAGTGGTCTTAAGCAAGTCTGTATACCTCCTTTGTCTGGCAGTGAGGCTGTAAGGTCACATGAGCTAATGCATTGTAAAAGTGTCTTGGACCCCAAATAACATTACAATTGTAACTTGTATTAATTATTGCTTCTATTAAAGCAGTATGTGCCTGCTTCATATTTCATGTAAGCTCTCAGTAACCTTTTAAGATAGCTACCATAATTATCCCATTTTACAGTTGAGGAAGCTGAGGAATGGAGAGATTATTAACCTGCCCAGAATATCATGGTTAATTCCTGGTTGATCTTTCTGATTGCTGTGGCACAGCTCTTATCCAATATCATGAAATGCCTGTTGAAATTTACTTAATAATTCAGAATTCCTTTTTTTTCCTAAAGTTTGCCAACTGCCTGAGTCTCATCTGTTACTTGGATATTTAGAAACTACATAGAAAATAACTGTTTTCTCAGGTGAAGAATATGATTTTCATTAAAGTTGATGTAATTGTTTATTCAGCAAATGTTTATTGAACACCTACTGTATATCAAGAATGTCTTTTTCCCTGGAAATACATAGTCACGAATGTTTTACAAAATCCACATTCAAAGATGTCTGCAGATTATTTTGTTATTCCTTTCTTCTGGATCTCAGGATTTGGACAGTGAGCTGTAATGGAAAGATTAATGAGGTTTTAGCATGATCTTGGAATCAGCTATAAAGTAGTCTTTTCTAGAGATGGTGAACAACTGTGCTTGCTGAGTCTTGCTGCTTCTGGGGCCTGGCTGGAGAGAGTAATGAATGCTTTGGCTTTGGGTAGATAGCCAGTTCTCTTCTGGGTTCTGCCTAATTTTCAATACTTTTCATGAAATAAATGCATTCCTTCTCCTAGTCTTGGCTTTTTAACCCTGAACTCCTCTTTTATAATGTGAAAGATCAAAATCTTGCCCAATTTCAGCTTTCTGTTTTTATTTTGTTATTCAGCAAAGTTGGTTTGTGTGTGTAATTGCACTGATTTTTTGAATGGTACTCATCAACATGCTTTTTGCACAGTTCAAAATTTTGAAGGAATTTGTAAATAGTGACCTGACAGGCACCTTTAAGCCTAAATCTTGTTAGAGGATTTGATCAATTTTTTACTTTTCCCTTACTTTGGTTCCCTTCCTAAAGCATTTTGTGTGTGAGACTGTTATATTTTGTTGGCAGGCATTCTTTTCTTCTTTCTCTCCCCTGGCCCCTTTCTTCCTTTAATACAAACATAATAGGTGCCACATTTTGTAAAAAACAATTCAGGAATGGAACAAATGAAAAATAAATTGGAGAGCATTGACATTTTAAAAATGCTTAGCCTGCTCATCCACAAGTTGGTATATTTCTCTATTTATTCAAGCCTTTATTATGAAAAATGTTAGACACAAAAATAAGAGTAGTAATAGTGTTTATCCCAGTGCTTATCTCTGTTTATCTCTTGGTTGTACCATCACAAGGAGAGGAGGCACCAAATCTCCTTCACAACTGTTGCCTCAGCTTCTACCATAGTGCTTTCTTAGTATTTATTGAATGAAAAATTATTGTAAAAAGTAGAGTTCTGACTTGAAAGCCAAGGTATTTTTAACTGCTGCTAAATTTAAAACAGTGTTGGATTAGAGCTGGTTTAGCCTATAGCTTCTACTTTCCTTTTCAGAATAGTTCAGAATTGCCATAGATCTTGGAAACATTGTTGAGGATGCTCAAGCAACAGATCTGATCTCTGCCCATCAGATCTGTAGCTTTGATGGATTTGAAACCGGTTTTGCTAGGTTAGGTGCACCCTGTGAAAATTATCCTCCTTTAGTGGGGCACTAAAAAGAGTGCTTCCCCTCAAAAATCAAAAGCTATCTGCAGAGTAACAAAATTGTACTACTAACATTGAAATAAAATGTTTATGGTTAATAATAGTTATTGGAAATATTATCAAACTTTGGCCAATTTTTTTCCTATAGAATTGACATTCATACATTAAATCCTAGGGGGGAACAATGTGCTTCTGCTTTTCTATATTAAATGACTTTGGAAAAGCCTCCTTTTATAATTCTTTTTTAATAATTTATTTTTTAAATTTAAATATTCTATTACTCGTTTGTTTTACAGATTTTTTTCCCATATGTTTATCAATATAATTCTTCTTCTTGTCTTCTAGTTATGCCCCATGGTGTCCATCCTGCCAGCAGACTGATTCAGAATGGGAGGCTTTTGCAAAGAATGGTGAAATACTTCAGATCAGTGTGGGGAAGGTAGATGTCATTCAAGAGCCAGGTACCGTAAATGTTGAACATAAACTGCAAAAGTTTAACAACTTTTTATTTTGAGTTTTTTCAAGCATGTAGAAACATTGAAAGTCTAGGATACTGATTACACATGAACTGGACACCTTTAATTAGCAGATTACATTTTTGCATACCTGGGTCTGTCTCTGCATGTGTGTGTTTGCACATACATATTTGCATATATATTTCTGTTTTTATTTTGCTGAACCATTTGAAAGTAAGTTACAGACATCGTGTTAATTTACTCTTCAATTCTTTAGCATGTTAAAACCTTCTTAATTATTTCCCATGTGTCCTTTTTAACAGTTTTTTGACTGAGAACCCAATCGTGGTTCATAAATTACATTTGGTTGTTACATCTTTTTACTCTGTCTCAATCGACAGTTATTCCCCATTTTTTAAAATGACGTTGATATTCTGAAAAGATCAGGCCAGGATTTTATGGTGACTTGTAACTTATAAGAATATTAACTTATATGAGTATTTTCTACAAACTGAGTGTTTAGGTGCATGATTTAGGTTAGACATTTATGGCAAGAGTACTTCATAGATGATACTGTGACTTCATATTACATCATTGGAAGGCACATGCTGTCACCATTAGTAGTAATATTAAGCTTGAGCACTTGGTTATGGTGATGACACTAAGTATCTCAATTATGAAGAAAGGATCCCACATTGTGATTAGCAAGTAACCTCTGGGATGATTCTTTGGGGTTTTAAGATCCATGTTGCTCTTGTCTGAATCAGTTACTATATTTTACTGTGATTCCAGAAGAGAAAATTTTCTAATTCTGTCATTCTGTCTACACTGATTACCTGTGAATCATATAATTTTTCATAAGAAAGAATGAATCATTTTTACCCCAAGGAGTGGAGAGATATAGAGACTTTTACATTCTGAAAAGGTATATACAATAAATTTGTGTTTGCGTTCTTTTTTTTTGAGATGGAGTCTCACTCTGTCACCCACACTGGAGTGCTGTGGTACAGTTTTGGCTCACTGCAACCTCTGCCTCCCAGGTTCAAGCAATTCTCTTGCCGCAGCCTCCTGAGTAGCTAGGATTACAGGCATCCACCACCTGGCCCGGCTAATTTTTTTTTTTTTTTTTTTTTCAGTAGACTCAGGCTTTCACCATGTTGGTGAGGCTAGTTTCAAATGCTTGACCTCATGATCCACCCTCCTTAGCCTCCAAAGTTCTGGGATTACAGATGTTAGCCACTGCACCTGTCAGTGTTTGCAGTTTTAAAATAACTTTATATTATATATAAATTGAGAAGAAAAGTTGGCCTTTTATAATCTAAATCTCCAAAATTTGGCTATTTTCAAATTTATTTATTTTTTTATTGCATTTTAGGTTTTGGGGTACATGTGAAGAACATGCAAGATTGTTGCATAGGTACACACATGGCAGTGTGATGTGCTGCCTTCCTCCCCATCACCTATATCTGGCATTTATCCCCATGCTATCTCTCCCCAACTCCCCACACCCCGCTGTCCCTCCCCTGTTTCCCCCCGACAGACCCCAGTGTGTGATACTCCCCTCCCTGTGTCCATGTGTTCTCATTGTTCAACACCCACCTATGAGTGAGAACATGCGGTGTTTGATTTTCTGTTCTTGTATCAGTTTGCTGAGAATGATGGTTTCCAGGTTCATCCATGTCCCTACAAAGGACACAAACTCATCGTTTTTTATGACTGCATAGTATTCCATGGTGTATATGTGCCACATTTTCCCTGTCCAGTCTATCATCAATGAGCATTTGGGTTAGTTCCAGGTCTTTGCTGTTGTAAACAGTGCTGCAGTGAACATTCGTGTGCATGTGTCCTTATAGTAGAACGATTTATAATCCTTTGGATATATACCCAGTAATGAGATTGCTGGGTCAAATGGAATTTCTATTTCTAGGTCCTTGAGGAATTGCCACACTGTCTTCCACAATGGTTGAACTAATTTACACTCCCACCAACAGTGTATAAAAATGTTACTGTTTCTCCACATCCTCTCCAGCATCTGTTGTCTCCCCATTTTTTAATGATCACCATTCTAACTGGTGTGAGATGGTATCTCAATGTAGTTTTGATTTGCATTTCTCTAATGACCAGTGATGATGAGCATTTTTTCATATGTTTGTTGGGCTCATGTATGTCTTCTTTGTAAAGTGTCTGTTCGTATCCTTTTCCCACTTTTGAATGGCCTTATTTGTTTTTTTCTTGTAAATCTATTTTAGTTCTTCGTAGATTCTGGATATTAGCCCTTTGTCAGATGGGTAGATTGCAAAAATTTTTCCCATTCTGTTGGTTGCCAATTCACTCTAATGACTTTCCTTTGCTGTGCAGAAGCTGTGGAGTTTGATTAGGTCCTATTTGTCTATTTTGGCTTCTGTTGCCAGTGCTTTTGGTGTTTTGGTCATGAAGTCCTTGCCTACACAAATGTCCTGAATGGTTTTGCCTAGGTTTTCTTCTAGGGTTTTTATGGTGTTAGGTCTTATGTTTAACTCTTTAATCCATCTGGAGTTAATTTTTTTGTAAGGTGTCAGGAAGGGGTCCAGTTTCTGCCCTCTGCACATAGCTAGCCAGTTTTCCCAACACCGTTTATTAAACGGGCACTGCTTTCCCCATGCTTGTTTTTGCCAGGTTTGTCAAAGATCAGATGGTTGTAGATGTGTGGTGTTGCCTCCGAGGCCTCTGTTCTGTTCCATTGGTCTATATGTCTGTTTTGGTACCAGTACCATGCTGTTTTGATTACTGTAGCCTTGTAGTATAGTTTGAAGTCCGGTAGTGTGATGCCTCCTGCTTTGTTCTTTTTGCTTAGAATTGACTTGGCTATGTGGGCTGTCTTTTGGTTCCATATGAAGTTTAAGGTGGTTTTTTTCCAGTTCTGTGAAGAAGGTCATTGGTTGCTTGATGGGGATAGCATTGAATCTGTAAATTACTTTTGGCCATTTTCACGATATTGATTCTTCCTAGCCATGAACATGGAGTGTTTCTCCATCTGTTTGAGTCCTCTCTTATTTCGTTGAGCAGTGGTTTGTAGTTCTCCTTGAAGAGGTCCTTTACGTTCCTTGTTAGTTGTATTCCTAGGTATTTTATTCTCTTTGTAGCAATTGTGAGTGGCAATTCATTCTTGATTTGGCTCTCTTTAAATCTGTTATTGGTGTATAGGAATGCTTGTGATTTTTGCACATTGATTTTGTATCCTGAAACTTTGCTGAAGTTGCTTATCAGTTTCAGGAGATTTTGGGCTGAGACGATGGGGTCTTCTAGATATACAATCATGTTGTCTGCAAATAGAGATAATTTGACTTCCTCTTTTCCTATTTGAATACCCTTTATTTCTGCTATTTTCAAATTTTAATAGTTATCTTTTTTATTGACATTCAGTTTATACCTACTGCATCCCTGCATCCTTGTACAAGGGCAGAAAGAAGATGGGCACATTCATTTTCTGTAATAAACTGTGTGTTAAAAACACACAAAGTAATGAAGTACCAGTTACTTGTACAACAAAATGGATGATATATGTTAAAATTGATGTGTCAACAATCCCATGGAGCGAGATTTCTATTAAAAGCCATGCATCCTCATGCCTCTATATTTGTAAGCATTTGAAGCAAATCCACCTGTCTGTCCTCCATCTAGAGATGGGTAATTATAGCTATTAGTTCATGGTTTTGGCTGTTAAAATAAGTTATTCTGTTTGGAGGCTAAATCGTTGCAAATGTTTCATTTTAGAGTTTAAGTAAAATAAAATCAGTTATAAGACTTGTTAATTACGGGGCACCAGGCACATTTTATGATAGGTTTCTTAAAAATGCAGCTGGTCAATTTACATTTCAATAATTTGGTATACCTGCCCTGAATTTATAGCATGATTTGAATTAAAAGAATTAAACAGCCTTGTGATGGGTTCACAAATCTAATGTTCTCTTTCCTTCTAAAAATGTAGAGTTGCAGCTATTTTTAACATTGTGAATTGATTAGGTTTTCTTGATGATGAAGTAAGAGAGAAATTGATTTTAAGAAATATTTTTAACACATTCAGTGTTTACTGGGTTTTATGTATATCTAAGCTATATATACTTGAAATATTCATTAAAGAAGAAGGAAAAAACTCTGGTATTCTGTAGGAATAGTAAAAAAAAAAGTCTAATAAAAGATGATTTTTTTTATGTGTTTATTATATTATTTTTATGTGTTTGAACAATTTTTATAGGCAGAGGTTCTAGAATTATTTTAAATGAAAAAAATGTAAAAAGTACAACTCATAAATAAAAAATAGGAGATAAACTTCTGCATGCATGATTATTCAAGAGACCTATAGAATATTTCAATTCAGATTATACTGTTTTAAATTTATAATTTTACTTTGAATTACAAATTTAATGCTTTCAATTAATTTTTTAATAGTGATTAGAAGTAAGTTGTTTATTCAACAAGTGTTTGAGTTTCTACTGTAAACAGGCTGTGTTCCAGATACCAGTGAAGAAAGGTGAATAAGGGGGATAGAGGCCTGGCTCCTCATTGAGCTACATTCTAGTGGAGGAGATAGTAACAAAAGAAAATTGGCAAATAATGTCAAGTGTTGGTAAGGGATATGAAGAAAAATTTAGATAAAAATGTACAAAATGATTGGATAAAAATGTACAAAATTTACTTCCTCAATTTATCAAAAAACCTGTTTAGCTTTAAATTGAGGAAGTAAATTTCAACAAGCTTTGTGGGAGGAGCATTCCAGGCAAAGCAAACACCATGTGTAGGTGCATGGGCTTATTTGGGCAACAGTTATGACAGTCAGTAGAGTACTTGAGATAAATGGGGATGAAGAAGTAGCTAGGGACGACACCCTATGAGGTCTTGTTGGTTATGGCAAGAAGTTTAGATTTTCTACAAAGTATGGATAGGGAGCTACTGGAAGATTGGAGCAGAATAGAAGTATGATTTATATTTTAAAATAATTCCTTTGGCAGCTATGTGAAAAAATTGAC